TCTATCTATCTATCTATCTATCTATCTATCTATCTATCTATCTATCTATCTATCTATCTGTCTATCTATCTATCTATCTATCTATCTATATATATATGTGTGTGTATTTATGTATGTATGTATGTATGTATGCGCACACACACACACACACACACACACACACACACACACACACACACACACACACACACACACACACACACACACACACACACACACACACACACACACGCACACACACACACACACACAAATATGTATGTATGTATGTATATACATATCAATGGATGTGCTTTCTTATGTACTTGTGACAGAAAGATAGTGATTATCCTGGAGGTTCATTGCCACTGTAATTGCAAAACTCGTATCGCCAATTCGTTCACGGTCTATAGATCACTTAAACAAAAAACTAATCAACAGAATTATAACCTGTAAGCAACAAGAACATTGCTATAAAGCTGAAAAAAAAACTGCAAAACAACGTAAACTTTCATTCAAATTAGAGTACCTCCAAGCCGACTGCGCCCCTTGCTCACGGCCCAAGTAGGAATCATCTGCCATTTCGGTCTAGAGAAATGGTAGAACGGCAGAGCAGATATTAATGGAGTTATAAAATGCCTTATAGCTGACCCAGCTTTGCGTCTTAGTCCTTTTATGAGCTTGGGTGATGGGTGTGGATGTTATCCTTGTCTCCCCCTCTCGTTTCTTTCAGTTAGGAAGTACTTCTTCGTGATTGTCGTAGTGCTGGACAACTTGCTTGGCTTTAGTCACAATCCTGTTTTATCTTCACTTTCTAGTTACTTGTAGAACATTCTTTGGTTTAAACAAAGGAAAATATTTTCTTACGTTTGTTTAGCTGCTTTGCTATCAATACCCAGAGTGCACTTCTGCAGTTATGGTTTTAAAATGACAAACTTCCTTATCGTTCAGTGTACAAATCATCTTTTAAGTACTATTTAAAAGAGCCGTAAATACATATAAAAACATCCACCTCCAGGGATTCCTTACCTAACCGAATCACTGCGTCTCTTCTTTTCCATTGATCTGCCATCCACATTCCATCCTCAACCCTAGCGTTTTCATCTCAAGGCCCAGCGCTGCCTGTCCCGCCTTTGATATGGACCTCGATTCAATTTCTCCCACTGAAATGTGCCTTCAAGAACGCGACATAATGGGTCGGGCTACGTCTTCGGAGCGGCTGAGATGTAGCTGTCTGTCGACAAAGCAAGAGAGGCGTTTTTGAAGGATCGGGGGACATATCTGTTTCCCTTTGAAGTAGTTGTGGGACCCTCATTTCCGGTTCGACGCTACTTTTATAGTAAAACCTCCTCCCTCTGCTCCCTCCCTCGAGCTCGGCTCCCTTCTCTCCGCGTCCCTCCTCTCCTTCCTCGCCCTTTTCCTTGGCTCTCTAGTTAGGCCTCCTCCGCTGCCGTTTTTACTCTCTCCAGTAAACCTTATAGCACCCGGTCCCCATGTCCCCCCTCTCACTCCCTACCCAGCCCCCCCCCCCCCCCCCGTCTGCTTCGCTTCCTGCCACCCCCTCCCTTCTCTCTTCTGCCGTGCTCCCTGTGGCCGCTCTCTGCCTCGCTCCTTGCCTGCCCCTCCTCTGCCTCGCTCCCTGCCTAGCCCCCTTTGCCTCACCCCCCTCTGCCTCGCTGCTACCTGGCCCTCATCTGCCGACCACCCATCTGTCTCAATCCCTACCTGTCCTGCATCTGCCGCGCTCCCTGCCTGCCCCCATCTGTCTCGCTCCCTGCCTCAGACCTGTCGCTAAACTCCCTCTTTTCTTTCTCCCTTTCGGTTCCTCTCTCCTTTCTCTCCTCCCGCCTCCCATCTCGTCATCCCCACCCTCTGTCATCCCTCACCTTCGGTTCCCCCTTCGCCTTCCTTCCTCGTTCCTTTCTTTCTTTCTCCCCTCTCTCTCGCCGCCCATCTCTCCCTGCCTTTTTTGATCTGCTTCGCCTACGTCTTTCTCTCTTCCTTCTCTTCCTCTCTCATTCGTTATTATGCTCTTTACTGATATCATCAATACTGTTACAATTTGATGACATCTTTCTCATCATTATTGTCATCATTACAATTGATGTTTTATCCTTATTACTATCACTGTTATTATTGTTATCATTATTATCATTATCGTCATCATCATCATCACCATCATGATAATCATCATCATTATTATTATCATTGCTATTTTCATCACCATTATTATTATAACATTGACTAGCATTATAGTTGTTGTTATAAATAATAGTTATAGCAGTAATACAAGTAGTAGTAGTATAAATGTTACTACCTTCATTGTCATCAGCATTATTATTTCATCATAAATCATGTACTCAACATCTTTTCCTATCCCTCTAATCATTAACTTTAATTCAGAGATAATTTTCGATAAAAGGGATCCTTCAGTGCATAACAACAAATGGCTAAAAAATGCATCAAGATGAGCCTAAAAATACCCAGCCATTTACCATATAAAATGTTCCAATTCCCTACGCAAATCTGATTGGACAGAACATACAAAATATAATATAAAAACAGAAAGTTCTCTGCAAGGATTACTTCGGCTAATCAGGCTAAACAAACTGATTGGTGTGTAGTGTTCGCTGGCTAGTGAAATGCCCTCTCTTTGAGCTTTGAGTATTTTCCTCTCCTATAATCATTTCAGGCTTCAGTACCGTGTGGTCGTGTAAACAATTGAATACGTATTGTTGTTTTAATTTTTGTTTTATATCTCTTGCTTTTCGTTTGTATTTTTTTTCTTTTTGTTCTGGATTTTTTCTTCTACATTTCTCTCTTTGAAGTCTTACTAATCATGCTTTCATGTGTCGGTGATAGTGGGCGATATAAAGATCATTATTATTAACATCATTATTGTTATCATTATTATAATGATAAAGATAATAATAATAATTATAATAATAGTAATAATAATTATAATAATAATAATAATAATGAAAATAATAATTATTATTATTATCATCGTTATTATTATTATCATCAATATTATTATAATAATTATTGTTATTATCATCATCATCATCAAAAGGAGAAAGCGAGAGCCAAGAGAAAGAGAGAAGGGGAGAACCAAGAGAAAGGCCGAAAGATAAAAATAGAGACTCGAGAGAAAATGAGAGATTAAACCCAAGAGAAAGACCGAGAGAAAGAAGGAGAGCAAGAGGGAAGATGAGCACCTAAAAGAAGGACTGAAAGTAAGAGAGAGAGAGAGAGAGAGAGTGAGAGAGAGAGAGAGAGAGAGAGAGAGAGAGAAAGAAAGAGAGAGAGAGAGAGAGAGAGAGAGAGAGAGATAGAGGGAGAGAGAGGGAGAGAGAGGGAGAGAGAGGGAGAGAGAGGGAGAAAGAGAAAGAGAAAGAGAAAGAGAGAGAGAGAGAGAGAGAGAGAGAGAGAGAGAGAGAGAGAGAGAGAGAGAGAGAGAGAGAGAGAGAGAGAGAGAGAGAGAGAGAGAGAGAGAGAGAGAAAGAAAGAGAGAGAGAGAGAACGAGAGTAGGACCAAGAGAGAGAGAGAGAGAGAGAGAGAGAGAGAGAGAGAGAGAGAGAGAGAGAGAGAGAGAGAGAGGGAATGACAAGAGAAAGAGAGAAAGAGAGAAAATGAGAGAGGGACGAGAGAAGCAGGCCGCAGTGGTCTCTCTAGTTAATGGCAGATCAAGGGTCAGATGATGGCATACTCAGAGCACGTTCCCGAGGGTTCTGCTGGAACTAGGGTTACGGTGAAAAGAAAATATTTAGTTGTAAGGTTCTGGCGGATCCAGGCCTGTCTTTGGAGGGAAATGCCGAGGGTTATGGTCTGTGTGTGTGTGTGTGTGTGTGTGTGTGTGTGTGTTAGTGTGTGCGTGTGCGTGTGTGTGTGTGTGTGTGTGTGTGTGTGTGTGTGTGTGTGTGTGTGTGTGTGTGTGTGTGTGTGTGTGTGTGTGTATGTGTGTGTGTGTGTGTGTGCTTTGCTTGTGTATGTGTTTCATGTATGCTTGTATGTTTTGTGCGTGTGTGTGTGCGTGTGTGTACATATATGTGTGTTATGTATCTTTTTGTTTTTGTGCGTATGTATTTCATTGTTCGTGTGTGTGTGTGTGCATGTCTGCAACAATGCATATTATACGTGTTCACATACATACACATTTGGCTAATGTATATGTATCAAATTACGCCCTGGCCGCTACGTCATCTCATTAATTATCATCTGCAAGACTTTTTTTCTTCTTTTTTCATAAGAACTTTGACTAGAGTCTTTGGCTCGTTAAATAATCAATAGGTATTTTGTCTCGTTATTTTGAACTGCTTATCCTATTATAGAAATGTACTATAACCAAATGCCAATCACTGATACTTGAGGTTATAATTGTAAATGAGAAAGTGCAAAAGCTTTAGTAATTTTCAGTGTATTATCGCAAATTATATCGCTAATTTGATCCTGTGTAATAAATAAAGGATAGTGAATTAGTTGACTTGCATTTGCAAGATATGAAATGTGCAAAAGCACTCTAGTTGCTGGTGAAAACCTTTAATTCCATAACAATTTCCATGAAAATATGGTTAATAAATGTTATAGTCAAAAAAGAAAGCGGATACATAGAGGGAGAGAGAGAGAGAGAGAGAGAGAGAGAGAGAGAGAGAGAGAGAGAGAGAGAGAGAGAGAGAGAGAGAGAGAGAGAGAGAGAGAGAGAGAGAGAGAAAGAGCGAGAGAAAGGGAGAAATAGAGACAGATAGAGAATGAGAGAGAGAAAGAGAAACATAAAGAGAGAGAGAGAAAGAGAGAGAGAGAGAGAGAGAGAGAGAGAGAGAGAGAGAGAGAGAGAGAGAGAGAGAGAGAGAGAGAGAGAGAGAGAGAGAGAGAAGCGAGAGAATGAGAGAAACAGCGAGAGAAAGAGAAACAGAATTCCTTCCCCACTCCTTCTGAGTCGTATCCCAAGGCCAGATTTCGGGGTCGTGTCTTAGGGTCGTGTTTACCAGTCTTTCAAGGGTCACCAGGTACGACCTCTCTA